GATATGAATATTTGATGCCCTGAACAGATAGACATATGGATACAGGCATTGCATTACACCCTATACTGCTCTTGAGCAATGTTTTCAGCAAAGGCTTTCAGTTTACAGGATGCACAAGGGTCAGAGGATCTATAACCAGTTGTGATTAAGAGTAGAAATTAATGATCTTAATCTTCATGTACTACCTTTCATCTTGTGGAATTTGACAAGGTGGTGCTAAATCTAGCTCAAAAGCAGGAGGTTTAATGGAGACTCTATTAAAGGACATTCACTGTGTCCTGTGGTCATTGCACACAGACTCATCTCTTTCTGTGTGTATCTTTGCAAATTTTTTCCATTCTACCCAAGACCAGTAAAGCTATTCAAAGGATAAAAGTTGCCATATCATTCAAAAGTAGAAAGTTTTTGTCATCAAAAAAAATCTCTCTCTGAGTTTCAGATATGTCCTGGGGCTTTATGTGATTCAAAAAGCATTCTGATGAACTCAAGCACCCTATTCACTGGACAGAATGCACTCTTTGTACAATCACCTTCAGCCATTCTCTTGGTTGTAACCACTTTCTAAGTCAAGGCTCAAAAACCATTTATTGTCACCAGACTCATCTTTTAGGTGAAGAATGAACGTATTTCACTTAGCACTACAGTTCCATTTACTTCTAAAAGTTATGTTATTCGTCTTAAGAATATATTTCTAGACTCTGGTACAGGAAGAATATGTGGCATTTCCTGACCTTATTCCACAGATCAGAATCCTAAATGGATCTTGCTTTAGAATGATGTTTTGATGTTCTGTTTTACTACGGAAATGAAAAGTATCATTAAATGTCACTGCAATTCTGCACACGTCTCTCACACAGTTTATCAGCTGCACAATGTTCTGTTCAGTTTGAGGTCAGCACTCAGTACAAAATTAGTAATAGACTTAGCATACTTGTATAACCTTATGTTAAGCCACTGTAATTAATGGTGTAAACCATATGGTAGCATGCATGCATTTATGTATTCATTCGTTTGTTTGTTGAGTTAGATATTTGAAATTTCCACCAGATGGCAGTAGATGACTTGCTGAGTCTGCAGTTTAAGTTGAATCCATTCAGATTGCCAGCACAATATTGATTGAAGACAGCTTGGGTTAGAAGAAGGCATGAGCATTAAAAAGAATCATTTTAGATATAATTATCTTAAATAGCTTTTTATATAATTATCTGTAAGACTTTATCTGTCTTACAGATAATTATATATGACTTTATTTTATTTATATAATTATCTGTAAGATTGGATGATTTGCTTTAGGCACTCTACGCACAGTCAACGGACCATCTACAGAGTTTCATTAAGCAATTTAACAGCTGATTCAACAACATCCTTTAACATCCTGTATCATATATTTAATTATACTTGATATATAAACATATTTATATTTATGTTTATATTTATATATATAATATAATATAATATATTTATATTATAATAAAATATGATATTATAATTAAATAATATGATGAATAATATATATATATAAAATTAAATTTATATTTAATTTAATTAAATTTATATTTAATTATATGAGCACACATTTTCTATTAAAATTCTATAAATATTTTATTATGAAAATCAACCATACATTCTTGACATGCTGTTGGGAATCAGGTCATAGGTGCTGAATGATCTATAGACATTGTTGGATGATCCATAGACACTGTTAGTTGTTGAAGTAGACTATCCAAATACAAAGTAACCTAATTATCTGTGCCGCTTAATATAAATATTAATCGTTATAAATGCGAAAACCAATCTGCAATCTGCAAAAACCCATTGGATGTCACTCTGGCTGAATTCTGGAAAACAACCAAAGATGACTAAAAAGGGTGTTTTGTCAAGATTGAATTTTTCTGCCAGTAATATACTTTGGCATCTTTACTTTAAGAAAACATAATTATATTTTAATAAAATATATTATTTTCTAAACTTGCCTCGTCTGTCTGCCTGCAAAGATCATGTCAGGTAAAGAGCCAGGTTAACACACTTAATAAAAAAGACATTAATAACAAGAAAGAATAGAGCAGAACTGACTGAACTAATCAGTGGTTATTGATGAGACGAGTGAAGAGACAACTATGAGGCTCTTGTTTATATACCGCAAGTGATTTTTACCTCAGGTGATGAGACAGAGACTGATGTAGATGATTCTGATAATCAAAGTGATAACTTATTTCCCATTGTAAACTTATAATTCTTAAAAATTTGGCTGTAATGTTGCTTTTCCAGCATGTAAGGTTTTAAATGTAAGGAAAGAGAAACATATTTCAGATCAGGAAAACCTGTAGATTTCAGATCTATATAACAGAAAATGTTATCTATATTATGTACATCTATAAAGCACCCTTCTATAGACAAAATAGAAATAGTAATCAGCTGTTATATTATCATAGTACCAAAAACTAGCTTACAGGTTATACTGATTTAATTTCTTTGTTAATTTAACTTTTTTTTTTAACTGTAGGATACAGACAGTAGTTTTGAAGGAGGTATGCAGGTAGAACTCGAACCCTATCACTACTGAGAGATATACACTCAGACATGGGGAAGTTCAAACCAAGTTCATATGACATATTGTGTTTCATCCACATGCTCCAACACCTGTACCTATTACCTACTGAGAATATGAATATATCACCTCTCCTCTTCCCTGGCTCCTCTCTCTCTCTCTCTCACTCTCTCTCTCTCTCTCTCTCATATGAATAGACTGATATCTTAAATACACCCCCCTTCTTTCCTACATGGTTTGCTGCTGTTAAACGCTCTCTTGGATGTGTTTCTCCCATTGATCCATGTCTAGCTCCAGGGCCTTCCACAGACAGCAGCTGTCAGAAAGCGAAAAAGCTGCAGCTCTGGAATAGATGCTCCTTAATGAATTCACCACGTTAGTTACAGCCCAAAGTGAGCTATGCCGCTCTGAGGCCTTTCTGGATGCAGTGCTCTCACTAGTGGTCAGGAGAAGTCAGAAGCTCTGTATATCTTGGCCAAGGGGAGGCCAGGAACAGCTGAGTCCTGGATTGAGAAATCAAACTCATTCTTGCTCTTAACAGTTACATGTTGCATTATTTGTACTTTATGCAATAGGCTATATCATGTTGTACCATAATGCTGGGGTATGATGTTCTTGTCCCACGGATGACAATAAAACTTGACTTAGGCTGGTAAATGACCCCTTGACTGGACAAGCCTGGAGCCCACAGTCTTATATGACTTTCCTTCCTACTGTTAATGCCACAGCTAATGTCATCTAAGCCCTCAAGGTAGAGAATGAACTACCATCAGTTTAGGTAAGAATCATAGTAAATGCATGCACACATACACACACACACATACAGAAATATACAGGATGATAAGAAATAAAGATAGAAGGATATGGATATTCTTGACAGTATTGATATATACAGACAATCCCAAATGGTGTTTGTAACTGAAAACCAGCTGTCAGTTTTAAACGCTTTAAATCAAATCAACAAAGTCAGCTCAATCTTCAAGATATGATGGATATGTCATCAATTCTAATGTGCAGCAAGTCTAATATTCATGTCCAAGTATGGTACACTGCCTTTGTGTTATATTTGTCTAGGGCACTGACATGCACAGAAATCATGCAACAACAACAAAAATGTCACAACAATACATTACATAATTCATAAATGACATCAGAATTCCTTGGAGCCATGTAAAAAGGAACAGCAGTTTTCTAATCATTAATTAATGTATGAAACTGAAAATGCTTAAATGACATATAACATGCTTCAAAGAACAACAGATGTGTGTCATGCAGAGGAAGCAATTTGACCATATGACTTGAATAATAAGTTATTGTTTCTTCCAGTTAACGTGAATAAACCACTTATGCTGAATATCCATAATTAAGATCAATTTTAGCCCCCTGGAAATGGATTGAAATGGACAAAATTACAATATCTAAGCAAAATATGCTACTTATAAACTGATTAAATAGGCTGCTGTGTAAATAAGATACCACCATCTATCTGCTAGTTGTAACAATCTTTCAAAAATGAACAAAATAAAGTCCTTACTCAATATGTCTTATATCACTTGAATATTTACACAATTTTAATTTTTTTCTCCCTTCAAACTTTCTTTCTGTTTTAATGCTGTACTTTCTCTCACTGATAGATTACATTTAAGTTAATTGCAGTGTTTTAGCGTGGGTTCTCTCAGCTGTAGGATAACCCCAGTTTTTCTTCCCCCATTTCAGAGGTCTTTGGATGGCAAGTATGCTGCTTTGTTATTTGCAAGAGTAACATATTCACTCATCAAATAATGGATGTGCTTTGCAGATTCTGGTTTTAATAATCAATTACTGAGAGTAATTCTCCATGGAGTCACAAGAGAGTCATTAAGTCTCAAAAGGCAATGAAAAAAAAAAACAAAAAAACTTATGGTATTCTTTTCAAAGCTCTATTTTTAAATAGAGCAGACTCAGTCTTGTTCACTTGGTGATGTTATTTTAACAGAAAACTGCCCAATTATAACTGAACTGGACATACAAATGGCAACAACTTTATGTATCAGTATGTCAGAATAAAAGTCACAAGTGTCTTGTGAAGGTGTTGAATGACTATTGATATTAGCCTAGATGCACAAGCATTTTTTTTTTCAGAAATTTATGTGATACATTTTTATTATTCTGATATACAGTGGGGTTCAAAAGTCTGAGACCACACTAAAAATCCAGAATTTTCATTTAAAACAGAAAATAAACAGAAAGTTTTAGAATTTGAAAAATTTAAAACAAAGAAAGTAAATGTTCAATACTTTGTTGTTCTTCCTCTTTTGGCTGCTCCCATTAGGGGTTGCCACAGCGGATTGTTGGTCTGCATATTTGATTTGGCACAGTTTTTAATGCTGGATACCCTTCCTGATGCAACCCTCCCCAATTTTATGGGGGCTTGGGACCAGCACTGAGAGCGCACTGGTGGACACGGGGTTGGTTCCCTGGCTGGGAATCGAACCCGGGCCACAGCGGTGAGAGCGCTGTGGCCTAACCACTAAGTCCTCCAGTGACCCCTAAATGTTCAATACCTTGAATATTCATGATTCTGCATTATTTCAGAACACTAATTAAATTTAAGCAAGTTTATGATTCTGACCATGTTAACTCCTTTGTACAAAAGGCCAGATTTTCCTGGAGTCTTAGCCCTTCCAGTTAACTACATACTCAGACGACACTCCAGTGGATTTGATCTAACATAGATAGTTTACACAGATTTGTGGAGTCTATGCCAGCTCAGGTGTACTTAAAGCAAGTCGAGGACATACCAAAAACTAGGAAATTCTGAAATTCCTGTAAATATTTCTAAGATTCTACTTTTCACTAATTATCAGAGTTTGCTGATAATATAATTTGTAGTAAAATAGTATCAAATTAGAAAAGAATGAGAAATTTTTTATGCATTTTCACTTACAACACAAACACTGATTTGTATGAAATATATGTATACAGTATATAGAGAAGACAATAACAGATTTGCCTAAATGTCTTCAGCAAATGCGTATGACTGACTAATTTGTGTTTTTGTTCAAATTTAAAGTTTATTGCAACCCCTGATTACACACATGATTTACTCTCTTGTAGTGCATGGAATTCAAACTATATGAGTATGTATTAATTCTAATAATCATTACAAATGTTATCATAATGATAATAAGTCTAGTCACCATCAGTATTATCATCTCTGGTATCATCAACATATTCATGTCTCATAAAATACAGATTAATATCTGATATAAAATACTTCAGTATAATTAAGATCAGAAAATGTATTAGAATGCAGATATACACTAGTGTGTAAAGTGTCTTTTTTTTTTACTCCAGTCTTTTGTATCCTTTTTCAAAACACTTAAACGCTTGTAATGACATTTATGTTGTCATCTGTCTGCTTTTATCACAATATGAGGACAAAGAAAATTTTTGCCCTTGAAATTATGAGGCCAAATAAAAGAAGGGGGGAAATAACACTTAAGAGTCAGACACAATCACAGTGAAATAAAAGAAAAAAAAGGTCAAATATAAAGTGGGGGTGGGGGGTGTACATTTTTGCACATATTCCCAAAACATATATAAAAGTATTAGGAATTGCATGTACAGTTGAATACAACACTTACAATTACATTTGTGTATATTAGTTAAGAGAAGAGCACTATAAAGGAAAGCACAGTGAGAAGATCATCAATTCCTTCATGTCCCAAAAGTATTTAGTATTCATTGCCATATTATACCGAAAACCTTCAATCTATCAGCTAGCATGTGCCTTAATTGCTTCAGTGTATGGCATACACTGGCAAAATCTCTAATCCTAAAATGTCTCAAATGATTTGGTTTCCTGTTTCTGCCATTTTAATCTTGAAACATCAAGAAAGTGCATTTCCACATAGAAAGTGTGATCTCCTGTTCAAAATATCAGGGGATCTGGTGTGCAGTCTCTGTCCATTCAGAAGAAAATCAAAATCAGGTTCTCCGTTCCTATTTTACACCTGGTACACAGAAGAGAGTGTGTGTGAACCTTATAGTATAGCCTTAGCACAAATAGTCTCTGTACTATAAAAAGTGTAATGTATTTTGAAATGTAACAAATTGTGTTTTTTTTTTTTAAACCATGATTGATTATATGTTCACACCGAGCTCCTCAGTCTTTTATGTTTCTTTGTAAGTGTAAGACTCTACTGAGTATCATAGAATAGAGAAACTGTCCATTTGGGATAGATGTCAATGGACAGAATTTTTTTTTTTTTTTTTTTTTTTTGCATGGCCAAATGATGCTGTTTATTCATTTTCAGATACAGCTTTATCCTGGTCAGAGTTGACCCTAGATGGGACACCAATCCACTGCAAGGTATCACACACACACTTCCGCTCACACCTAGGGCCAATATAGAGTAGTCAGTCCATGCTTACTGGCATGGGGGAACTGAAGTACCCAGAGAAAACCCATGTAGACGCAGGGAGAACTCTGCACAGATCCAAATTTAGAATCAAACCCCAGACCCTGGAGCTGTAAAGCAGCTCAGGAAATAAAAATGAGGAACTTTGTATTTTTTTTTTTTTTGAAATTCTACAGTGCAGTTCACATCAATATACAAATAAGAAGTCAGCTCTAGTGAAAGGACTGACTGACTGACACTCCGCTGTTACAGCATGTGTGAGTGGGAATCACTTAGGACATCTGTAGGTGGTAGTATACACCTAAACTGTGGATCAGTAATCCATCAATAAACTGAGAGGAGAGACTTTTAGTCTCTCACACATAATCTGTTAATTGGACAATTGAAAATCTCTCAGTTCTGCTGTAATCAGAGGTATATACAGTATATATACAGTATAGAACAATACTGGAAGTAACTGCAGTATACTTCAGTAATAATAGTGGATATAGTAAAAATTAAGCCTAGGGGATAAAGTGTCCAGAGAAACAGGACATTTCTGACAAAAGTCGTTCATCAACAGTGCAAGCAATCTGCTTTTGAAGCTGTAGGAGGTGAAACTAGTTCATATTCATATTCATGAGTTCAGAATTATCAGCACCTTCATGAAAGTGAGCAAAAGCTAATAAATAAAAAGAATAATACATGCAATAGGTTGATATTTTAAACTCAAACATACAGGGGCATTGTGTAGTTTTATTGAAACATTTTACTTTAAAAAGTTGTTTTTAAACAGTGGAAATTCTATTCTTCTACAAAAAAACTAGTTTCAAAATTATCAACATTCTTAAAATTAATATTTTGTGACGCCTGTCCCTGGAAAGAATAACAGCACTGAGTCTCATTCTGAAAAATATTACAAGGTTGGAGACATTTGTACAGGATCTTCAACCACTTCTACATGCAGGATAATATGAAATCATTTGCATTCTTATGTTTGTGCAAGTGGATGATTTTTCTAGAAGGAAATATTTGATTGAAAAAAAACAACAAAAAAAAAACTTTTGTGCTGCTATTGCTTTCAGGAAACTCAGTCTAGACTGACTAAGAAATATTTGGAAATAACTTTCCAAAAATAATATTTATGTAGCAAGTATAATTAGCTAAATGTTCTCTATGTCTTCCAGTAATGTAATAAATCCATGAACAACCAATCCTGAATCACAGGCCATGGGAAAGCTGTCACTGTCCTTTAGTCACACTACAATGAACAGGCACAAACTGCAGTACTCTTTACATGAGTTTCTGAGGAACTGGTATGATGCAACCCATGATACATTTTCATGCCTGTCTGATTCAGATAAAATTTGGTAAATCAACTCAGCATCTGAGTGGAGAACTAGTCTAATTTTTAAGCCTGGCCATGAAATATAAGGTAAGTCTATACCATCCTCTTGCTCCACATGTGGCAGAAACCCTGACACTGCTACTCAGTTTTCTTTCCCCCAAATTCACTATCTATCCTCAGAAAACCGCCTGGCTGATGGGTGGTCTGACATGCTGACGGGTGAGCGGGTAGGTGAGTGGGCAAGAGACCTGAGTAGAGGAGCACTCATAGTGAGATTATAAGAGGTGGTTTGGACATTGAGGACATGAAGAGGAGACAGCTTGGAGAAGAGATAGATTGCTGTTCCAGGTGATCAAACAATAGGATGAGAAAGAGAAGAGTGTCAGTGGAGGCACAGGTGAAGAGGCTGAGAAATATTCAGATAGAGAATAGAGAAAGAGAGAGAGAAAAACAACAAGACGTGAAAGTAAAACAAGCAGAAGGTTTGTGACAGCAACATACTGTGCAAAAACCATGAAAAGACTTTTTTTTTTTTTAACGAATTTCTTTTCTTTCTTTCCCTTTGCCTGGCCTTCATGCAAAATCAGCTGTGAATATAGAAATTAAGAAAATATTTGTGACTGTATCCTTTCATGATTAATTATTATCTTGTAAAATCCCATATAGTAGTTATAATAGGAAAGCACAGCATTTAGTGTGAACATTCATAAGCAATTCCATCATGTGATTATTAATTATGTAGACAAGTTAGGGATATGTGAAAGGGAAAATGAATAATGACTTGCTCAACTGATGAAGAAATAATTAATTTATACAATTAAAAATAAAGATGAAGAGTTAAGGATATTTGTATTAGAATTTTCTAAAGCCTGGTGATGCAAATACTATATACAAGAAATGTTATCGTTTGTAAATGTAGATGAATTTCACATATATTCAAACAAAACAATGGAATATATTAATCTGTAATTAATTACGCCCATTGGTTTAGACACATTAAGGGTTTAAACAAGCAGCCCACTCATACCCCATGTGTGCTTAAGGTCCATTTACATGTGTGTGTGTGTGTGTGTGTGTGTGTGTGTGTGTGTGTGTGTGTAGCAGAGGAAGGCAGATGGAAGAGAGAGAGGAAATGGTTCATTTCTCTGAGCACTCAGGAGTGGAAGTGGAGCAGCATATGTTGGGATTTGAATAGTCAATCGATGAATAACCCAAAGCACTGTTTCTTTTTTTCTGCTCCTTCTTTCTCGTCTTTCTGGACAGGCTAGCGGAACAGCAGCGCTGTGCTGGGAGAGTTGGCCATCCCTAAAGTGCTAGGCTGTAGTCAAAAATATTTACAGCGCCAGGAGGTATTTAGAGAAATATTCAAAAAATTCAATACTGGGCTGACCTCTCACTGGGCATTCACTGCTTCTCACTTTCTCCATCTCTTTCTTTCACCATCTCTCTCTCTCTCTCTCTCTCTCTAGTTCAATCTTCCCATCTCCATCAGAAAAAAAGAAGTAATTCTATGCATTTCTGTAGACAAGGCTAAATCTGTGGTTAAATGAAAGTCCATTTTAATGGAAAACCTATTACATTTCTTATACCTATTTCATTTTCAGACAGCATTGCTTAAGTGACATTGTCCTTTTTTTTCTTTTCAGTTATTTAGGTTACTTTTCAGTTATTTTCTGTCATGTATTGCAGACAGTTTCATTACTTTAGTATAGCTCTATAACTCTTTATATGCATTCTTTTATTCTTGCTCAGCAAAAGGGTGCAGTATGTCAGGGTTGTTCAGTATTCATTGCAT